GTTTCTTGTTTTGGGGTTTTGTTGTTCTCCCGCCCTGGCGGGGGGTCGGGCTAGAAGATCTACTAGGTCCCTTCCGACCCTAAATCTATGAAACTATAAGAGAGAGCTCCAGTGGGGAAGAGATGGAGCAGCTGGCAGAAGCAGCCCCAAAGTAGGCTAATGAATTATAAATAACAGCTGTCAGGTCCCACTGCCAGTGTGCGGGGGTGGAGAGGCTGCAGCAGCCCGCACGTTCTCCTGTAATGCCGACTCGGCAGAGAGGGCATGCAGTATTCATAGGGAACATAGCAAAATCAGGATGGCATCGAGCTCATTTGTGCTTCTCCTTTCTTTGGAGCCTGTGGTTTGGGGTAATTGAAAACCCAATGATTTGCCTCCACCATAATTTTTTTTTTGTAACATGTAGATTAAAAAGCAATCTACAAAATATTCACACCAAGGGAATTTGGCAAAACTAATGCTGGAGAGAGCCCAACATCCACAAGCAAGTGAAGGAGGTGTGTGGCGGGATGGGACTCTCAGAAATAGGCATTTATATAAATCATCCTCTCTATAGCCTAATGGAGTATGGCTTAATGATGAGACGGCTGCATAGTTAGCACATGCAGCCTTGCCCTTTTTCATCACTGGCTTCAGTATTTAAAGCAGGGGTTGTCGACTGGGGATACACATACCCCCAGGGGTACTTGAGAAGGCCCTAGGGGGTACGCAGGGACGGAGCGCTGCCACGCACCATCCCACCCAGGCACTGCCTGCCTGGCTGGGCACAGGGGGTGGGGGAAGGTTGCACGTGGTGGCTGCCACCACTCTGCATTTGGCTGCATGCTGCCCCCACCTGTCCCTGCTCTGCATCTGGCCCCCGGAGCTACGCTGCTCTGTGCCCAGCCCCCAGGGGTATACTGACCCAAAAAGGTTGAATTCCCTCCCACCCCCAATTTAAAGGGTTGATGTGCTCACCTTGTGAAGCCTCAGGAGGAGGAAGGGGCTGCTTTTGCACACCTGTGGCAGGAGTCTTTGGCTTAACTGTTCATTAGCTGCCAGTGGTGTTGGTCATATATGTGGCTTTATAAATAAATAGTTGGGGGGGGTGTTAATAAGACATTGAGCAGTCAGAGTTCTTGGGAATGTCTGAGGTGCTGAGAGGCAGTGCAGTGATAGGGGCGGCAGGGATTCTGGGGATGGGTGGGATGTTTCCAGTCCCTTCGCAGTCCCTGGCATGCTCAGTTTTAAGCCCTGTGAACTAAGCTTGCAGTGGACTCCATTGACTTAGTGCGAAAATCCCCCTTTTGAAGAAGCAAGCAGGGAGATTTAGGTTCATCTAAAAGCTGGGTTTTAATTAGAAGTGTGCAAGTACCGGCAGGGGGTATTGATTCATCTTGAATGCACTCCAGAGACCCTCCAGCCTGTTCCATTCAGCAGCTCCACCTTGTCCTCCGGCTCTTCCCAACTGTTGTTTACATTGAAGGTGAAGGTGATGCTGCTTACCCCTGCATGGGTACTAGATTGGTTTGGGGCATCTGTTTTTCAGGTGTTATGATTCTTCTGAATTGGGAGGGGGCTCTTCTCTTGCTGTTTCTGCAAGTTCTGTTCAAATCCCAGCTGCTCCTTTTGAGAGCAGCAGAGCAAACCCATGTTGCAAAGGCGTTCTCTTCCTGCTCTCGGGGGTGCGTGAACTGGTGCATTTGGGGACCTGTGCATAGAGCAGATTTTCATGTAAGCATCAGTGCACATACTTTCTTCAGTCTTGTCTGGCGGCTTGATTTCTGCAATTCCACCTAGGATGCTCAGCAGCAGGGAAGACTTGTGTGCCTTCAAGTATTATGCTGGATGGCAAACTAGCACTGGTTGCTCTGTTAATGGTTCACTTCACTGTGTCGCTAGGAAAATGTAATTAGTTTTTACTGGTGGGAGGAGGGAGGGTACTGCAATAGCCTCAGATTTTAGTAGTGCCTGCCTTTTTTTTCAGAAAGTAACTGGCTCCCTGTCTTCTGCATCTTTCAAGCTGCATGGAGGAGGAGGAAAGCATTCAGCCCACACACCTTGTCTTGTCACCCCGAGGACTGCTACTTGTGCTTTTTAAGGACTGTCTTCCCCTGCTGCAAGTGTCAGAAGGCTCGACCCATGTTCTGATTTGTTGTTCTTTTGTCTCAATAGATACCCTGCGCTATTATATTGCCTGTAGTGCTGGATACCCAAATCCCTTCCAGCAGGTGAGTTTCATCGAGCTGTACATCAGTGGGGCTAGTGATTACATGCAGTCCTGGAGCAGGCTACATAAGTGAACTTAGCTTAAACTTTAGGACATTGTCTGCCTGAGATTTCCTCCTGCTTTGGTGAAGGGAGAGATCCAATGAAAACGAACACTGATACAAGTGACATCAAGTCAGGGCACATGGCACTCCTCCAGGACATCAGTCCCTGCAGTTCCAGGCACATAAGGCTGTCCGAGTACCATTTCTGAAGCAAAAGATGACCAGGACCATTGTTGGCTCCTGTCAGTTACTTGGCATTTGTCCTTGGAGCAGAGACATTTCTCTCGCTGTTTGGGCCACGCAACAGTTCAAGTTGCTGCTGCCTCCCTGTGGCTGATGCAGTATTCACAGGTGGTGTAGGATTGCTGTGTGCAGCATTCCAGTCCTGCAGTTGAGCCACTGATGAGGATTACATGGAGCAATACCCCTACAGAAGTGCCCATGGCCCTGTGGCACAGATGTAAAACACGCTATTGCATTCTCATTCCTTCCTAGCACAGCCTGTAGGTACGTCCCCACAAGCATGCATATGCGGTTTGCAGCACTGAAAAACTGTTGTCAGTGCCACGTGTTCTCCATGCTGCTAATTTGCAGTGCAGTGGCTTCTTTGAACACTGGGAGATCCTGGTGTCCAAAAAAGCGTGGCAGAGCACCTGACTAGCATGTGTTGGCTGGCCAGAGCCACATTCCAGCTTCCAGCAAGGCTCCATGTACCTGGACCAGTGCCACTGCAGCCCTGGGAGGACCCCAGGTAAGGCTGGTGGGGCTAGCACAGGTGCTGCCCTTAACCTTCCCTGCCCCACCTGGGACAACTTGCTGCATGCCTGCAGGGGCATGCCGAGGAACATCTAGCAGCAGCACATGCCGCTGCTAGATGTCCCTGGGGAAACTAATATTGCTGTTTGTGGGGACATACCCTGTGAGTGCAGCAAAGTCTTCACTTGGATTCTAACATGTATCCCAGGACCAGAATGAATTGGTTCCAGCTGCTTCTTGGCTCTCTCCCTACATTTTTGCAGAATTTTTCATTGCGTTTCGAAATAAGATGTTTCTGGCTGGCCTTTCTCCAAAGAGAGCCTTCCGGACATGATGTGGCACTGCTGTCAGTCACACTCATAATCGCTCTGTGTAACGGTGTCTAGCATGCGGCTGAGTGAACTTCCCTGACATCTCCTAGTGGGGTGTCTTTGCTGCATGTGAATAAAAACAGAAGAGATATTGGCATTAACTACTTCACTGCTGACTGCTTCAGTAGAAACATCCCAGCAGTGTTCTTTATCTGTGGTAAAAGGGCTGTTGGAATTGGATGAGGAAGTTTTGTGTCAAGTCCCCAGTGCTGTAATTTCTCCTTAACCAGTGGTTCTCAACCCAAGTGCTGTGAGATTTGTCCCTGGGTGGACAGAGGTAGCTATGGGGTCTGGGTTAGAGACAGACTGGTTCCTTACCCATGCCTGCCTTCCCCCAACACACACACTCTCCACCCTCCAAAGTAGTCTTACAACACTCAGGAGTACCAGGCTTGAGAGACTTGGCTTCTCTGCTCCTAGAGAGGACTGAGTAGTAGTGTTAGGTAGTCTTACCGTGAGGAGCCAAGCTGTTTTGTATGTGCTGCCACTCTAACAGGGAGTAGTAGAGCTGGTTTAGCGCAACACGGTGCATGGGCTAATGAGCTCTGCTGAGCTGCTCCCTAGCTCCGGGGTCTGCAGCAGGCCTGACAAGAAGACGGTAAAGAAGACGCCTTGCAGGTCCATGCAGGAGGCTGGGTGGAAGATGAGTCCCAGGATTAAAAGGATTCAATAAACAGCAATGTAGCCAATGTCTGAATATGTCTGAGCAAGATTTAACTTGACAGCAGCTCTTCTCCCCCGCCCCCTCTTCCGCCTCAGGAGCTTTTGCACGTAGGTTGGCTTTGCCCCTCAGGATTCAAATGTTCATGTTTATGTTGAGCAGAAGCTGTCAGGAAGTCATAAGGCCCTGGTGGAAATGCAGGATGATGTGCTGGAACTCATGAGGTCAACCAGCAGAGAATACCCCACCTCCAAGGTAAGCTCTGTGAGTATGCCCTTCCCACCTCCACAGCCTCAGAAATCCTTTCCCTTAGATCTGTTCTTTCCACACAAAAAAAAAAAAAAATCCTTTCTTTCAAATAATCTCCACCTTGTTGCTTACAGGAATATCTGATCCGCATCCAGGAGGTCCTAAATGCCACAGAGATCAATTTGCAGCACCTGACTGCACTGGTTGATTGTCGCAGTCTACATCTGGTGAGTACAGCAGGGCAGTGCATGCAGCTGAGAAGTTGTGGCTGCTTAGATGCAGGCCCCATAGTGCTGAGCTCTCTGAAGGCAAGGGTGCAAGGACCTCAGGAGTACCAGGCTTGAGAGACTTAGCTCCTCTGCTCCTAGAGAGGACTGAGTAGTAGTGTTAGGCTGGGCAGATTAGCATAGGGAATTAGAGCTCTGAGACTTCATGGGCCTTAATTTGGTATAAACTTCATACAGCTCTGCCCAGGGTCCTTTCACACGCAGTTCTTCACAGCCCTGGTTTAAGGCCTCTGCCATGGTCAACTGCAACTTTTTGCAGAGATGCAGATAAGTTGTTCAAGCCTATTTTAAGCTCAAGTGGGGCATCGGGTGGAAGATCTGTAGAATTGGGAACATGACAATGACAGCTGCTGCCACCACCTTAAGAATAACACTGAGGATCAAAGTAGAGCAGGCAGGCCTTATTTTTTTTCCCCCTTTTCCTGTGCCTGTGGCTGAAATAACATACCTCCATCTGGACCTGAATCAGGCCCGGCATACCCAATTCAGGTCAGTCGGTTTCTTTAAAGAAACCGTGAGCCTCACGAACCATGTTATAGCAGCTTTTCAAGCTATGCTTTTAATGTTGTTAGTCAGTAAAATGCTGTGGAGGGTCAGAATCCAGGGGCATTGAAAGCTGACTTGCAGAAAAGGCAGTGTTGGTTTTTTTTTTTTTGTTTGTTTTTTTTTTCCTATGGTGAATACACAGCTCTGATTGGCTTCTTTCCCCAGGACTATGTCCAGGCTCTGACAGGCTTCTGCTACGATGGAGTGGAGGGGCTCATCTACCTGGTTCTCTTCTCCTTTGTCACTGCTCTCATGTTCAGTTCCATTGTGTGCAGTGTCCCGCACACGTGGCAACAGAAGAGGTACGTGTGAGAATTGGATGCAGTCAGCTCACACACACTCTTGTGTTCTTGGGCAATTTGCTCCTGCAGACCTGGTCATTGGGTTTGTCCACTAGTATCTGGAATTCTTCACCATGTACTCTTGAGAGTGGATTGACAGAAACCCCTAGGTCTAGTGGGAGAAGAAACCATCAACCTAGGTCCAGTGGGAGAAGAAACCATCAGTTTCTAACCAAGACCAAGGAATTCAGAATGTCTCAACTCAAAAGGTTTATTGCTGCATACTTGTTTGGTGCCCAGTAAGAGTTCTGTTCTTCTGAGCTGGATGTTAATAGGCTAACTCAAGAAAAGAGTACTCCTTGTCCTGTATAACTATCCTGTTCTAAAAGTGCCTATTCCCTTGTATTGCTTTTAAGGTTTTTATAAGTGGGTGGGAGAGGGGGCGAGATCCTTGAAGCATTTAGGATCGTATCCTGCTTGCCTTATTCCATTCTTTAAGTCTCAGACTTGCCTAGCTCACTTCAGCTATGTGATTTATGGCCAAATAAAAGGTGACTTCCCCATTTTACAGCAGCACTGGAATGGAGATTTGCATTTTATTTCCAGCAGATATTTGATGGTTGTAAGCTAATCTGACCAATTTGTCTTGTCCTAGCCTGGCAGTTTGTCGTTGTTACACGAGTGCTCCTTTTTGCTTTTTATTTATCTGTTGAAAAGTGGACTGTGTTCCTCTGCAAAGCATTCTTTTTAGCCAAGCATAATGTTTTCAGTGACTAAAAATGGTCCAGGCACCAAAATGGGGTATGGAATCTTCTGGGGAAATAAGGGGGCTTCTTTACCGGAGAGGCTGCTGGGAATGCGTCACCTGCAGCTGTAGGGAGGTCTGCATAGTCTACTGGGGCTCTGCACCTGTGGCAGGGCATGGTTTTTCTTGCAGGTAAAAATCTGGTGTCAGTAGCCTTTAGTTCCTTTCGTAAAATGTTGCTGCCCCCATGTGGTGCAAATGATTTCTATAAACTCACTAGGGGGGACCAGAAGGGTTTGGGGGAGACGCTATTTCCCCTAGTGCCCGCTGGCATAACAAGGAGTAATGGGCACAAGTTGATGGAGAGGAGGTATAGATTGGACATCCGCAAAAACGACTTCACAGTTAGGGCGGCTAGGAGCTGGAACCAACTTCCAAGGGAAGTGGTGCTGGCCCCTACCCTGGGGGTCTTTAAGAAGAGGCTGGATGCCTACCTGGCTGGACTCATTTGAGTCCCGTTTCTTGTTTTGGGGTTTTGTTGTTCTCCCGCCCTGGCGGGGGGTCGGGCTAGAAGATCTACTAGGTCCCTTCTGACCCTAAATCTATGAAACTATTTCGTTGGAGGAATCTTGCTTAACTATTTGACCCACCTCCCTGCCAGTGCAGCATTTTGAAGTGTTGTGTTCAGTGCACTATCAGATGTGCCATGCAGCAGTGATGCGCATCGTGTTCTTAGGGAAGCAGAATAAGTTGGAGTGAGCAGCAAAGGGGATATCACAGTGACTAAAAAAATCAGCAACGTCCTTCAGCTTAGATGTCAGAGAGGAGTAATACAGTGCTGCTGTGCTCTGAAGTTTAGAGTGCTGTCCAGTAGACCTGTACAAAGCAGCTAGTATTTGTTTTGGATTTGGATGATTCGGGGGACAGTGATTCGATTTGGTTACGTTTTTGAATCGCTGTCCTGAATTGATTTTTGGCTGAATCTGTTTTGGAGATTTGGCTGCCTCCGAATCTGACAAACCATCCCCATCCCCTGCCTGGCCCCAGCTCCTGGCACTCACTGGCTCCTGCCAGGCAGGGGGCGATACCCGCTGCCCCACACTGAATGGGGGGGCTCTGCCACGAGCCCCCAGAAGCCCCGATGGTTGCTGCAGTGGCTGATGAGTGCAGGGCTTTTTCTTTCTTTTTTTTTTTAAAAGAACCAGGAGCTGCGGCTGGGTGGGGTAGCCATTCATGGGGTTGGGAGCTGGGAGCAGGCAGGGGATAGGGGCTCATGGCAGAGCCCCCCACACAGTGTGGGGCAGTGGG